TGTGTGTGTGTGTGGCACTGTTTGTCTCGTGCGTGTGCAAAACTGGTTTGTAAGTAATAATGAAAACAGACATTAAGATATTGTTTTTTATTATTATAAAATTAAAGATTTATATTTACGTGCATATTTGAAAAAGTTTGCAGATTTAATTTTATTTCCATTGTTTTCACTTCTCAGCAGATTATAATATAAAATATAATGTACTGTAATTGTGGCTGGATTAACATGATGAGGTGGAAAACTCCTGACACCTCCAAGTTCCATTTAAACCTTTTCTAAACAAAATGTTTTAGATCTGTCTGCTCTCATCAGTGTCATTTTCAGCATAAAATGTCTAAAAACCTACCGAATGCTACCAACACAAATCCTTTTGTTATCAACTGGCAGGTGAACATAGTGGAGCATTTATTAGCTAAAGAGCCAGATATTTCCCTGAGGAGCTGGTGGAGACCAAAACAAAGTAAGAATGAGTGAAAATTGGGATTGGGAGTCAATTTAAAATGAATGCTAATGTCGTTCTGTGTCTGCTGGATCAATGAACAAGCCACCGTTTGGTCACATGTTTAATCATACAGTATCTTTACAGTATATTATATATTATATATTATATGTCAGTTTGTTGTGCTGCTGCCAAGTGGCCAAAAATGAGGTTCAAGTACAGATCATACAGTAGACTAAACATACACATTTATTCTTTTCCCAGACTCCCCTAAACCAGCACAATATAAACAGTTGTATTTCATTATAAACTAGAGCTGCACAATTTATCAAAATATTATTGAAATCTCAATATGGCTGAGTACAATATGCAAACTACAGAGGGCGAAAGTTTGTAATAAAGGTGAAACGTGACAAATGGCTACAAATCTTGTTCTCCAGATTTAAGAAAACATTGGTAGAGACCTAAAAAGATGTCACATCAACGTTATTTTAATACTTTTTTCAGTGAAAATTAAATTTGTGATGCAAAACCGATCATTCCCACTCTGATGTGACTCATATTCTAATAATCATTCAAAACATCTGTCAAAATAATCGCAATATGATGTTTTTACCATATCGTGCAGCGACTTTTGTAAACTAAAATGGTTTATTTATTTGTGGGCTGCAATTTTTAACTATTACATTGACTAAATGATTAAGAGATTAATAAAAAAAATGAAAGCAATAATTAGTATGCTGGATGAAGTTGTGTTAAAACCCTCTCTAATCACCCACCAGTGTTCAGTTCTGTATTCATCCAAAGGATGGCAGTGTAACATAAAAGGAGGACAGTGCACCTTTTTAATAGTCTCCTCTCTCCTGTTTGGGGCCCCGAGCTTTCATCTGTTGGCTTCAATTTATTTCATCACACTATACTGCAGCTGATCTAATAGCATGTACATTTTGTTGTCACCTAAAGGGAATTTCTTGTCATGCCTCCAAATTGATGTACCTGTTTGCAGCCTTGGACAGTATTTGTGCTGCACAGTCACAAGGAGTGTGTGAGCAGCATACAGCTCAGACAATTTTTACAGATCAGCACACTGACTTACATTCAAACAGTAGATTATGGATTTATATTTGGAAAGTGTGTTTTATGTTGATCTTTGCAGACTTAATTTGATTATCACCAAAGGAACATTGAACCCTTTGATCCTCGAACACCCTGAGGTCATTTTCTGCACAATACAGTTCGTTTTCATCCTCTATGCAATATGGAAATAAGCATTTTGGGTTTATTAGTTTATTTTGCATCTTTAGTATCATGATACCGCCTGATTTCCCAAAGGAAGTCCTCCAGCTTGCCTTGGCGCCCTTCCAAACCCTGACCTCTGACATCATCTCAAGGCTTTTGATATGAGCAGATAGAACGGCACATCTCTTAAAGAGAGGTTATAATCTCCATAAAGACTGGTGTCCTTCACCCCATCTGATCCCCCTGCTGCACTTACCCACCTTATCGGCAGGTCCGAGATGGTATCAAAGCCATTTCCATTCACTTAAATAAGACAGGAAAACAATCAGGGCCTTAAATTAAGTGATGTTGTTGGGGGCTTAATTCAATCAGGACTGAGTCAGAGAAATTCCTTTCTGGTATTGATCAGGGACAAGCCTCAATGTTGATTTTCTGTGACAGTTCCTTACTCCAACTGGTGTGCTGTGCTTCCTTTTGTGAGATTTTCTTTGTATACATCCCACTGTGGTCAACTGTACACCAGCTAATGCCAGAATGACCAACACACTGAGTGCAATTTTCTGGGACACAGTCTAAACCAGACTTGAGCGTGCCCTCATTATGAAGGTTTGCAACCCCCCGAGAGTGCCCGACCTGACCCCAAAAATTGCTCAATTGACTTTTTCCATCTGCAGTTATGTGTGGTGATGGGGAACCATGACATTTACATTTGCACCACTCCAATATGATCCCTTGCTCGGCGTGAGTTTTCGACACAGACTGTAGCTCAAAACAGGTCACAGGATCAAAAGTGTCTCTTGCCCGGAGGAGCCACTGAGTCGATCCTTTCCATTTCTGCACCAAATGGTGTTTTCTCTCTCTCTGTCTGTCTCACCAGTAACTTGCTGGAACACATTTAGATCCTGAGTAGAACTCCTCAGTGCCCACTCATCACTCTGCGTGGTGTTTGAAGATTACTACGCTCAGAGACATCCTCACTGGGCATCCAGGCAGCTTAGAGGCCAAAATCCATAATCCCTTACCCTTCATGGGAATTCTCCATGCACTTCAACATGCTGAAATACAGCCCCGCTGCAGCAGCCACTCATGGTCGAGGAACTACTGCAGCCGGAGGCCGAGATAGATGGATGGCATGTCTCAATGAATGTGGGAGAAGTGGAGGAAGTTAGATTTAAAAATAAGTTATATACCGCAGATAGTTTCTGCCCAGAAATCTAATCTAAACAGATGTTTCTTGCAAGGTGTTTTATTTGTAATGCATGCACACTACCTCAGTCCACCCACATGCACTGGTAACTATTTTATGTATACGGTAACAGCCCAAAGGATATTATTTACTGAAAATATAGGTGGGACTTAGCAGCTGCACAGCTTTTCTACAAGTCATTTCAATAAAGATTTTCCTCTGAGGCTTTAATGCCTTATTAAAAAGCGTAAATAAATGTAGTTCCCTGATTTAGTAGTCTGCATGAACAAGTAATATGTAAAGTTCAGCTGTTGTAGCTGAAGGACCGGTGGGATTTTATTTTTCCTCCTCTAGGCTACACTCTAATGCTTTGTTAAAAACCATGTAATAGCTTGGGGAGTTTGTCTAGCAGCAAACAAGAATAATAAAAGTAATCTCATATTCACATTTGGTATTTTCTCATTATGGAAGCGTTT